TTCTCTTATTCCCCCACTCCGTGTCTTTTCCCCCCACCTGCAAATCATGCATCCCTCCCCACCAGAGAGAGAGAATATTCTGCAATGAGACAAATCTTGGAGGCCAAGAAGTGGGTGTGGAAGTTGTTGGCCGCGATGACTCCATCTAGTTGCCATCAGCCTTCTGGGCAGGACAGCCTCCACCCCCCCCCAAAAGCTGGCCCTTTGCCTGTCTGCTTCCTCCTCCTCCTCCTCCAGTGCCACTTGATTCTCCCTCGGCTTCTTGTGTGCCAGCCCCCCTCCCCCCTCCCCATCCGCCTGGCTTTGTCCCTCTCATCCTGCCCCATGTCCTGGCTGTGTCTCTTCTGGGCCCCTCTGGTGCTCAGCTTGGAAGCAGCCATTCTGCGGCCATGTCCCACTGCTGCTGAGGCTCACCGCTTGCTCTTCTGGAAGCAGAAGACCAGGATGATCAGCATGACCAACAGCAGCCCAGCTGTTATGAAGACAAAAGTCGTGTCGGTATCATCTAGAAGCAAGAGAGAGAGAGAGAGGGAGAGAGCGAGAGAGAGGTGTTTAGGGAGGGACTCCTCCTCCTCCAGTGCCACTTGATTCTCCCTCGGCTTCTTGTGTGCCAGCCCCCCTCCCCCCTCCCCATCCGCCTGGCTTTGTCCCTCTCATCCTGCCCCATGTCCTGGCTGTGTCTCTTCTGGGCCCCTCTGGTGCTCAGCTTGGAAGCAGCCATTCTGCGGCCATGTCCCACTGCTGCTGAGGCTCACCGCTTGCTCTTCTGGAAGCAGAAGACCAGGATGATCAGCATGACCAACAGCAGCCCAGCTGTTATGAAGACAAAAGTCGTGTCGGTATCATCTAGAAGCAAGAGAGAGAGAGAGAGAGAGAGAGAGAGTGCCAGGTGTTAATGGAAGAGATGGGGCTCCTTTGCACGTTTGGGGCTGAAGGGAGGGCCAAGAGGGGCAATGGAGTGCCCTTCAGCCCGGGTCAGACTTGCAGTTACCATCCAGCCTGGGGCAATATGGGCAGTGGCTTGCACACGGGAACCCACAGTTGGCTCTGTTTGCACATTTAGCTGCAGTTGGCAAGTCACTAGTAAGGAGAAGGGAGCTGGCCTGGAGAGTGGGAGGGGTTGGGTGGGTCTGTGACTGCTTGGTGGGTAGCAAGAAGGCTCCGGGTGAAGGAAGGACCCCCCCATATCTCCATTTTGTCTCTTTGGATGCCAAGGGGCTGGGGAAGGGAAGGGAAGGGGTCTCCATTCAACCGAGCAGCCCTGGGGCAGCTTGGAGCTCCAGCACCACAGAGAGGGACTTTGTGCCAGGCAGCTGATGCCCCCGCTAATTTCTTAGCTTGTGGCAATTCACCAACAGGATTTCTGCCGGCTGCATTCTGTCAGGATGAAAAAGCAAGAGGATTTGGGCCATTTGGAGATTGAACCATGTGAGGTGCCATCTCTCCTTCCCCTTTCTTTAATAAAAGATGGCTTCTTTTGTGGTGGCAACAACGAAGGAGGGTGTGCAGACAGAGGCCATGGCAGCTTTCCCTGTGGTGATGGTGGGGACGCAGAGGCCTTGTGGGGCCCCCATGGTTTCTGCAGGGGACTCCTAATTCCTTCCAGCCCCACTTCCGTGGCTCCCCTTACCAGTCGCCTTGGTGTAGAGCGTAAGAGCGCTTCCGTTGGTGCTTCCAGCGACTGTAGAGGCCATGATGTGTACCTGGTACATCCTGGAAGGCCAGAGGCCTTTGACCGTGAAGGAGTGGATGGAGGCGTTCACAACAGCACCTGGAGAAGAAGCCAGTCTCAATTTACCCTCACCTGGCTTGGCATTTGCCTCCTCTCCTTGATGGCCGATGGAGGGTATGAGAAGCCAAGCCTCCTGCCCAGGATGACTGTGAAACATCTACAACATCTGGCGCCCCGGCTGACAGGACATGACTCTGCATGAAAGAACAGACTGGAGGCCTTGGGAATTAGATTTGGGGTGGTTGCCCATGGACCAAGGCTTAGCAGTCTTGCCTACAGGGGCTAAACCATCGATGGGACTCACTGCTCATGACTTCATCGGTGCCAATCCAAAAAAGGGTGTAGCTGATGATGAACCCATTCCGCTTTTCCACAGGGACGGGCTCCCAGTGAACCTCGGCTGTTGACTTGCTGATATTCCCTGGATGAAGTTTGGGTCCTTCAGAAGGAGCTGCACAGGGAGAATGGGAGTGGGACGAGGAAGAAGCCTCTTAACATTACCAACAACAAAGAATAATAAGAGAGAACAGTAGAGCTATGAAGAAATCGTTTGTTTTCTTTTGGTTTCCCTGCTTTAAAAATTTCAGACTGAGATACAAGAATATTGAGTTTAGACATACAGTACAAAAATGTAAAGTTGCATTCATATTTAAAACTTTTTTAAAAATGACAACACACACACGCACACACACATAGCATATTAAAATACCTTTTTGCAAGGTGTAAACTTCCACAGACTGGGGCATCCCCAGGGCATCCCTGTAAAGGGGGTAGATGGAGACGTTGTACCGCTGAAAAGGTTCAAAGCCTTCTGAAAGAAAGAGAAATGGAAGGTTATTGCTCAGAAGAGATGGGGCCAGAGAGAAAAACACTGAAAGCCAGTGCTGGGGTCAAACTAGGTAAGGTATTGATCACTTTGAAGGTGCTCCCTCAAGTCGTGCTGTTTGTACAAATGGGTGCAATATGAGAGGTCTCCGTGCAGCTCTGGCCATTGCAAAGGGGTGTGTGTGTCTGTCAATGGGGACTGTCCATGGTCCTGAACCCTCTGTTTGGCCTGCTGCCCAGGGGTGGCTCTGGACCAGCCTTTTATTAAATAAAAATGAATAAAATACATAAACAAACATAAATGACCGAGCCCATCATGTCCACTTGGCCACAAATTTTGGCAAATATGTCACAGGCTTTTTTTCTATTTGGGGGTGGGCCAGGAAAAAAAGGGGGGCACTCAAGGATTTGGCCACCTACACCGAGATCCGGCAGGTAGTCCTTACAGGAGGAGACCAATGGATCCATGGGATGTTCTTGCGTGTTCACTCACCATTCAGCAACCGAGTCACTGGGTCTACTTGTGTTTATTCATTATATGTGTTCCCTGCCTTTCCTCCAAGGAGCTCAGCTAGCCTGCACTGCGGTTGGATCTCGACCATGAATTCCGGGGGAGGGTGGGTAGAGGATCCTTGCCTTTGCCCCCTCCCTCTGGGCAAGGGGTACATGACCTCACCCTCTCTTCAACCACAGTCACCTTGAATCAGAGCTTGCGTAGCGGCGCCATTGTGCACCTTGGTCCATTTCATGCTGCCATTGTCCTCGGTTCGATCTGCAGATGTCACCTTGCACCATTCGATGATGTAGCCAGTAGCGGACCGTTCCCCTGGTGGATCCCAGTGCACCCAGAGGCTCTTTGCATCATAAGGAGAGGTCCAGATTTTTGGCACTGGCTGACCTATGGAGTGCATCATTAGACAAAGTGCCAGGGAATGGTTAGAACAAGGCTGGAGAGCAACAACTCAAGCCCTAGAGCCATGTAAGGGCTAGTAAGGGAGAGGGCCTGGGGTCGCCAAAGCTAGCATCAGTTACATCTGATCTGATGCCCACCTTCAGGAGCGGCACTGGGAATCCAATCCTGTTTTTGAGATCCCAGTTATACTGCCCTTACACTGCAAGAGAGGCTTAAGCCTCTCCAGATGTTTGCAGGTGGAGAGCCCTCTTTCTCTACCCACAAAAGCATTCCTTCCTACCTTTCTTCTCTAGCAAGGATACTTCAGTGGGTTGGGAGGCGCCTCGTGAATTGAAAGCCACAAGAAAGATCCGCTGGGTGCCAGGCGGCAGAAGGAAAGTGCAGTGTAAATCCGTGGTGTGGCAGAGGGCGGGCGGCTTCCTGCTTTGTGGTCGGGAGCTGAGCGTGGCCCAATAGCCCAGAATGTTCCCATGGGTCTCGTTGGGTTTCATGGGCTGAGAAATGAGGGGAGAAGCCAGAGGGTGACCTTGGTGGATCCTGCATGAAATCTAGCCTACGAAATCTGCTGGGCTCTTTGCCTCTACAAGAATACTAGTAACAGAAGACACACCGAGCTCCTTTTCTTCCTATCAAATACTAGCTGATTTTATACTAATTCAGCTTTATCGGTGGGCTTGACAATGTCCTGGAATTGTCTCCAGGTGAGGACATGTCTTGGCAGCGAAGTCTTTCCTTTCCTTTATTCCAGCAAAAACCCTCAGGTAGGAGGTCTGCTTGCATATTTCTTCCCATACCCCCCCCCCCCCCCGAAAAAAGACCAAAAGAGCAGACTGATTTGCATGACAGTGGCTGAAATCCTGTTGCATCATGTAAACAAAATCATAAGTTTCGGTCTGTTCCTTCCAGGTAAAAAAAGAGCCCCCACTCTGACTTGTCTGTGTGCGCCTGGGGTTCGGGAGCATGCCCATGCACCACGTTAGCATGCATGCGCATCCTCAAGAATCACCGTGGGAGTTCTCCACTTACTGGTGAGGAATGGACTGAGACTTCCAACTTTGCTCATTTACGCAACAGGATTCCGGCCATTGTACTGGCTATTTTATGGGCACAGATGCATTTTTTAAAAAACAGCAATTAAACCAGAGCCACAGTCCCTGTGGATCATGGCCCTTCAGAGTCCCACGCCCCCCTCTTTGTCCTGGCTCTTGCTCTTTAGCCCAGACTTGGCAGCCGCCTGTGCTTCACAAGGATCCGTGCAAGGCGCAAATCGACAGAGTGCCTTTCACCCCCCTCACCTTCCACAGCAACTGCACCTCTCTTCCTTTGCCCGCCTCCTGGGTCTTCACCTTCCACCAGGTATCCAGCTTGCCTGAAGGGGCTGCAGGAGAAACGGAGGTCTTGGGAAGGGGATCGAGGGAAGAGATGCCTTGGGCTTGGGGGCCCCAGGGCTGCCTGATGGGTCAGAAACTCTCCCACCAGTGCAATTCCTTCAAAGCAATAACATGAAAGCTGCTAATTAGGAAAGTCACTGAGCTTGCCAGTCCTAGTGGCCATGATTCCCTCTTACTTTGGGTTCCCTGCTCCTCTTCCCTGGGAGACATGGGTGTCCCTCTTCCTGCCTTAGACATCCCAAAGTGCACAGCCGTCGACTGCAAAATGAATGTAGATCTCGTGAGGAGCCTTGGCACGAAGATGGTCCTCAAGTGGAGCCCTAGAGATGCCCGGCATTCGCAAGGACCTTTGGGGTGTGGTGTGGGGTGGGGGAGGCCAGGGACCGAACCCCTTCCTGCTGCCACTGCTGCTTGCCTGGGGAATGTCCCAGGAGACTCCGGGGAGGGGCTGAGAGCTTGCCCCCTGCACGCGCACGTACTCCCCCCCCATGGTTGCCCCAAAAGGCTCTGGGGTGACCCCCCCTCCCCTTTACGCCCGGCCACTCCCACCTTTCTCATGGGTAGTGAAGTTCATGGTGGGACTCCAGTCGCTCCAGTAGCCGGCCGGGAGCTTCTGGCAGCGCAGCTGGAACTGGTAGCGGGTGGCGAAGAGGAAGCCGCAGTGCTCGGTTTGCCAGGCGGAGGGGGTGACGTTGCCCACGTAGACCTGGGTGGTGGGGGTGGTGGAAGGAAGCAGCAGAAGGGGGTCAGGGGCGGAGGAGACGGAGATGGCCAGGCTGACCACAGCAGCCCCTTGAGCCACCTCCGTCCCTCCCCTCCCCAGCCGTGAACCCCCCCCCTCGGACATCACTCAGCCTTCTCTGGGGGTTAAACAGGTGGGAAGAAGGTGGGAAAGGTGTCCCCGGGGGAGACTCCCCCACTGCTCCAGGGACCGAAGCTCTGGCCTGGTGGGAGCCCCAGAGGAGTGCTCCTTTAAGGGAGAACCCCCTAACCCTTTATAAAGACAGCCCCATAGAACACAGCGACTCCCTCTTCCTCCGGGGGCTTCCTTTGCCCCTCTAAGGACCAGGATGGCTGCCACGGGGAGGAAGATGCAGGCCGCCAGGCTGCCGTAGCAGCAGCACCACGCGATGCTGACAAGCCTCTGGCTTGTGGGTTGCCAGGGAACAACCCAGGAGCAAAGAGGCTCTGAAGGGGCAGAGCCTCAGCGGGTGGCAGGGATGGAGCTCGGCCGGCAGGAGAGCTCAGCCAGGTGGGAAAAGATCGATCCCGAAGCTGAACAGCCGACTGGATTGGCCGCTTGACTGCCTCCTGTGCTTGGCTGGGAGCGCCCCCCCCCACATGCCTAGGATTGGGCAGCACCCCATTGGTCCCCAAAGGGATTTTCCCCACCCCCATTGACCAGGCGCTGGGGGGTCACGTCCAGCTCCCCGTGGGATGAGGGGCTCAGGACGGAGCCCCCACCCCCTAGATGGCCGCCCGCTCTCTTGCAAAGAGGTACTCACGGATGTCCAGGAATGCTCCCCCTCCACCCGGTAGCCGAGCTCGCAGGCCTGGTCCATGTACTCGCTGCCCTTCGGTCCCTCCCAGGCCACGGCCACGCAGTCGGTGTCTTCGGGGACGGACTGGATCACCCGGAGGGTCGGAGGATCCAGCTTGACTGAAACAAAAACGGCGGTGAGCAAAGCGTCCCCTGCCCTCCTCTTCCTCTTCCTCCTCCTGCTGACCGGCTGTCCTCCTTCCCTCGCCCTAGGAGGGCGCCCCACCCAAGGTACCCCCCTTGGCCCAAATGGGGCACCAACCCACCACGGCAGTCACACCCCTCTGGCCCCGACTTTCTTCCGGGCTGCCGAAGACCTAGCCACTCTTTTCTTGCCAGGATTTATCCCAGGGCACCATGACAGCCCCCGGCCACTCATAATTGGGGCAGGGGTTGATTTTCAAAGAGTCGCTTGACCAAGCGCTGGAAAGCCCAGGGTGTCAGATGCCCTATACAATTCTGAGTAGTGTGGAGGTACAGAATGAGCAGAAGGTACAATATGTTCACTGCACACACACAGATATCAAGGGAATCTGAAGGGCAAGGTCTCCTCCTTGCCAAAGTCAGTCCCTCCCGTTGTCTGCGACATCCATGGAAAGAGCTTAATTCCTGCTCAGGAGTAGGAACGGGATATTGATCGCTGCCTCAGCTTTGGCAACCCACCTAAATCCATGGGGTCTGCACACAAGGGCCTTGATCTCGCACTTCCCAGGTCGTTCTTTGCTGACACCCAGAAAATCATGTTTTGATAGAGGAAGAGGTGCTGGCGAGGGACGGAGCAAGAGTTCTGGCCGGCCGAGGGGACACAGAGTGGGACGTCCTGCAGGTGGGCGGTGCATTCGCTCCCGCTCCTAGAAACATGCAAAGACAAGCTGTCTCATTCAGGCTGCTACGTCCGGGGTCGTACGGAATCCCCTGTTTCTCTCTTTTAATGTTACTCGTGCACACCATGCTGGAATGTTGTCAAGGAAGGGCAGGGTCTTCCCTTTTTAAAGCAAGTGTGTGCACGTGTGTGTGCATCCATGCATTAGAGAGGCTGTAGCCTCTCTCCACTCTCCCATTTGTGGAGGTTCCCAAAACTCGATTCCTGCTGCTCCTGCACTACCAAAATATTATGGTACAGCAGTGAAAACAAAATATATATATATATGCTATTTTCCTTTGTGATTTTCTCTGGAAATAGCATTCCTGGTGGAAAACAAGATGCACAGAGAAGGTGCATCTTATTTTGCAGCTTAAATGCATTTTCATGATTATTAGTTTTTTTTACTGCCATGCTGAAGATTTTCAGTGGTTTGATGGGTTATCCGCTTAAGAAGCACGCCAGTGCCTCATGAATTAGCCCCAATTAACCAGTGTGAATTATGCAAATCGATGCCAACCCCAATAGGATTCTATCCACTGTGAGTTAAACTCCTGCACAATGTAAGAGGATGTAAGTACAGTCCACTGTGAGTTAAACTCCCCAATCTTCTCCCTTCCTGCACAATGTAAGAGGATGTAAGTACAGGATGGCACAGGTTGGGAATGCCACTCTTCTCCCTCCGTGTCTATGTGTAGAAATTAAAATAAATGCTGCCCTTTGGCCAAAACTGTTGGGTTTTTACCAAGGACGGTTGATCAAAGGGCCTAGCGCTCAAAAGCTGGGGGGGCAGGGGAGGGCATTGAGACGTTTTTGTGTGTGTGGTGATGGGGGGAGGAATGCTGTCCAGCCGTTTTGTTCCCTTACCGGACACCTTCGAGGGTAACGTTGACGGAGAGGAGGCTGTCCTCTCCAGGGTCCCACCAGCACCTGAGGCTGAAGGAGGTGATGTTCATAACACAAGTGAGGTTGCGGGGCTCTGATGGAGGATCTGAAGGAAAATCACATGACACAAGAAGTGTGAGGACGAGACACTTCCCCAGCTCTAAGCTGTTGATGGGCTGCGCAGGGTGAAGCTGACCTCCTTGTTCGCACTGGCCCTGACTCTCCAAGCCCCAGATTCGCCCCCTCAGATGAGCCTCCCTGAGAGTCAGGTCAAACTAGACAAGGCAGTCAATGTTACATTAGAAATGGGCAAGACGCCTCTGCCTTCTAGGACACTGTTTTCTTTGTCTACATGCCTTGGCATCCGATTGCTTTTTTGTTTGTGATGGGCCACTTGAGAAATAAACAAAGACACACGCACACACACCCTTTGCAAGTCTGGAGGGGAATGGGGCTGTCAGCTCCTAGTTAGGGAGTTGGCCACTTATCTATGTTGACCCCTCCAGGCGACGTCAGCAACAGGGGTTTTTAGAAATGGAATAAAAACATGGATGCAAGAGGTTCAGGCAACTCTGTTTAGCAGAAAGATGCCTCTGTGTGGCTGGGGAGCAGCACTCCTTACTACACTTGCAGTCTTCTCTTGTTGCCGGTCAGCTTTCCCGTGGCAGCTTTCTGGCCACGGAGGCAAGTAAATGCCGGACTGCGTGGCCCTTTCATCTGATCCAACCCATCTCCTTTTAAGTTCTGGTCATCCTTGAACAACTTCACAGTGATCTGTTTGATTTGGGGGCTAAATTCAACATTCTGAATGTAAGAGTAAACCCCCCCTGGGATCTCTATATTTCACGTTATCCCACCACAGGAGCCTTTCTGAGGCTTTTCGTTCCACTTCAGAAACCTCCTTTTGAATTTCCACCGGCAGGGCCATGCAGGGCAGACAGAGTGTTTTGAACGGTCCTACCTTAAATCTTGGTGCAAAGAGAGATGCGCTAATGATAATAATTACTTCCTGCCAAGTCAGTTCCAGCTGATGGCAGCCTTGTTCTTAATCACTGCTCCTATTTAGATGAGCAACTGAGCACAGATTTATTCCAGCCGTTTGCTTTGGGACTCAGCTTTTAACATGGGTTTGTTTCCTGCTGCGTTTTACAAGTTTCCCTGATCTCTCTTGAAGTTGACTCGCTGCAGCTTTGCGTTTTTGTTAAGGTTGGTTGTCAGTGCTCTGAATTATTTTTCACAGGAAGTTTAAATGCTCAAGCAAAAAAAAGTGCCCCAAGTGCGGCACCCAGCACTACGAGGAGAGATGAATGCTTACATCCAGCCTGGATCCGGATCAGGTCCATCATCTGGAGGGGCCCTTTCCTCTGCAGCCAGCAGCTCAGAAGGTTCAGCGTCTGATTGAGAGGGCCGACGGTCAGGTTGGAAACTTCCATGCCGTCACTGAGGCTGTGCTGGGTCCCGCTGAGCAGCTGCTCATTCCACTTCCACAGAATGTGGACCTCGCCGTCCTCTTGAATGGGGCAGCGCCTTTTCCAGATGGTGCAAGTGGCTGAGATGGTTCCTCCCACAGGAACCACAGATGAGTTCACCGCAAGGTTGCTGCAGGGCAGGGTTTCTCCTGGAGAGGAAGAAGAGTCTTCAAGTGAGCAACAAGCAGACGCTAAAGGATGTGACTTCCAATTGCCATTTTTGATATTACCGAGAGGTTCAACTTCATCCTGATCCAACATTATAACGGATGCAATTATGTTTTCATATTTGTAACATTTCTTAACTGTACTTCTTTTCAGATCAAACAGCGAGTAGCCTTGCGTCCCAGCTATTGCAAAAGGCAGGACGCAGACCCAACCAATTGCAATGAATAAAAACAACAGCAGCCTTTTCTATTTAACTGTCTGAAGAAACCCAGACTGAAAGCAATCATGTATTTAACTCCCAGACATCACCTCACGTGATCGAGAGAGCTATCTCTTGTAGAAACATAGAATCACAGAATCGTGAAGTCAGAAGGGGCCTCTAAGGCCATCCAGTCCAACCCCCTGCTCAAGGCAGGAATACAAATCCAAGCAGATCTGCCAGGGGGTTGTATTTAGGTTTCTCTTGAAGGCCTCCAGGGTTGGAGCACGCAACGCCTCCCCTTGAGGTCACGAGTTCCGCTCTCGTGCTGCTCTAACAGCACGAGAGGTTTCTCCTGATATTCAGTTGAAACCTGGTTTCCTGTAGCTTGAGCCCATTGTGGCGTGTGGAATGGGTGGAGACGGGACGCCGAGGCTTGAGGAGGAGGACATTTCTCGTCCCCTCGTGACCCCCGCCCCTCCGCTCTCGTGCTGCTCTAACAGTACGAGAGGTTTCTCCTGATATTCAGTTGAAACCTGGCTTCCTGTAGCTTGAGCCCATTGTGGCGTGTGGAATGGGTGGAGACGGGGCGCCGAGGCTTGAGGAAGAGGACATTTCTCGTCCCCTCGTGACCCCCGCCCTGGGGTTTGCCTCCCCACCTGGAAACCTGGAGAAGCACAGCAGAATGCCTGAGACTCCAGCTGGTGGTGCCCTCGGAGCTGGCCGTCCCAGTGGTCGCACACGTTGGCCTGTTTTATGGAACAAGAGCACCGCTCACTCTAGACCAGGGGCTCCCGATCATGGGGAGTCCAGGTGCTCTCGGACCGCAACTCCCAAAGATCCGGGCCAGTGCAGCGAGTGGCAAAGGCTTCCGGGAGTTCTAGTCCCATCTGGGGACCCAAGTTCAGGAACCACCGGCCTCGACCCTGCAGGCGACCTACCTCCTGGGAGCAGAAGGAAGAAGACGGCGCAGGCCAGCAGCTTCCTCCAGGGCGTCCCTGCCGTTGTCATGGCTCCTCCGCTCAGGCTTCCAGCATTACCTGGAAATTTACAGAGACACACCTCAGTCGGATCGTTTTCTGCTGCTCCTTTGTGAGGTGGCGTATCCGTCTCATGTAATTAAGCTGGCAGCTAAATGCAGTCCGGAAGGTGTGAAGTTTCAGATTCCACCGCCTTCTGTTTTCCATAGTGAGGGCTACGTTGAGGGTCCTGGCAGATGCCTGGCCATTTTCCAGGCTTCCCCGAGCCCTGGCCTCCCCTCCCCCTCCCTTTTTTGGGTCTTAGGCCTGGTGCTGGTGCTGTCCTCTCAGCAGGAGAACTAACTGTAAGGCGGGTTGATGAGGAGATTGGTATCGATGCAGCATCAGAAGCGGGGAAGATGCCACATGTGCGATTAGGCAAAGCAAACACCAGAGGCATAACACCTCCCTCATGGCACTGCAGAGGCATGGGGGGGGCAGGCCTCACCCAAGACCCCCTAGGGCTGGGCAAAAGGGAGGGAGAAGCAGAAGCAGAGGAGGGAGGAACCCTGATCCTCCGGTGAGATCAGTGGCACCTCCTGAGTCGTCTTTTTGTCTAAGTTATGCCTCCTCTACCCTCTGTCTCTCTCTCTCTCTCTCTCTCTCTCTCTCTCTCTCAATTTAAAGTCCTCATTGAAAAGAAAAAGTGACAAGGTGGGCACTTGAAGGCGACAGCAGCTGGCCCTCTGAAAACTCTCCCAGACTGACACGAGGACCACAGCGTGTGGCTTGTAGGTGGCCACGCTGTGGCAACCGGAGGCTGGTGGCAAAGCCCCACCTGAAAGGAGCTGAGCTGTTTTAATGAGCTTTTTATTCTCGGCAGCCCTTCCTTCCTGGGGCAGGGGCTTATTTCACCTGGTTCATTGCCCTGCCACAATGGAGGTGTCACCACAGAGCCTTTAAACTGGATTTCCTTATTATCGAGGCATGGCTCCCGACTTGCGACAGCCTACTCTGTGACACCCCCCCCTTCCTTGCTTCCACAATCATGACAAGGTGACTCAATGCAAATGGAGGAGCACCCAAAAACCCCATTTGACTGCCTCTGTGACCAGCATGCTTATGGCAGGAAGTGTCACAGCAGAGAAGGATGGAGACAACCAATGGGGGAGAGATGGAGCTGGCCGAGTAGCCCAGGACACCCCGGGGGAAGGGGGAAGGCCACCTGTTAGGAGACCTTCTGGGCACGGCTGTGCGGGGCTCTCAAAGAAGCCAAGAAGCCCAAATTCAGGGCCTTACGGAACAAGAAGAAGCGCCCGAGGGCAGCGCCCAATGGCTTCTTCGCTCACTCCCAAGCAGCAGCTGCTACGAAGGGCACCTGAGCATGAAGCCCAGTTACCGCTTCCCACAGAGATCTTCAGCAGCAGAAAAACAGGTGCAGCACTGAATGTGAAGGATTGGGGTGCTCCAGACGGTGGGCTCGTTGGGGGCCCCCACAGCCGGCTCCTGATCGGCAGAGTGGGAGGAGGCGACGGGAAACCTGAGCCCCAGATGGGCGGCTGGCTAAGGGTCACATCTTTCACCGCTTTCGAGGAACGAAGATGGCACAGGGGGTCAGCCTCGCCTGATGGCCGCCTCCGGCTGCATTTTGGGGCTCCCATGAAAGAACACATTTTATTTGGTAACTAACTAACTAACTAACTAACTAACTAACTAACTAACTAACTAACACTAAACTAAACTAAAATAAGATAAAATAAACAGCAAATTGTAATTATTTACTTTGTTATTATTGTAATTTAATTGTCCAAGGTTGGAGCAGTGCTGTGGAATTTCTGAGTCTGGAGCCCCCAACTAACTGCCTGGCTTTGGGTGCTGTGCATCTTGGCTGGGGCGGGAGAGGAGATCCCCCTTGCCAGTCTGCCTCAGGCAGCAAAATATTTTGTGCTACCCCTTGCTTGCACACCTCAGAAGTGGCAAAACAGCAAGCTACCCTGACCTGCTCCCTAAACTCAGACCTACTGATTAGAACTGCCTGTGGGATCACCAAAACTACTACAAGCTGATGATTTTTGGAATGGGAGCTAACAACAACACCAACAATAATGATAATAATAATAGTGATTCTGGAAGAGACCCTCTGGATCATGGAGTCCAGGACCTGCTAAGAAGGCATGGTGGGGAATCGAACTCCCAACTTCTGACTCCGCAACCAGATTCCTAAACGACTGTAGTGGGCCAACATGCTGTAAGTGGGCCAACGTGCCTCCTTCATGGGGGTCAGAGAAAAGCCTCTCTCCTCCCCCCCCCAAGCTTCTGAGAGGCTGTGGCACCCTGGGAGGCAGAAGGGGTGAGATCAGCCTTCTTGGCACATCTGGCGATCTAGGGATGCAGATGTGCAAAGGCCGGCATGATATTAAACTCAAAGCAAACCGATGTGGCCCCCAAACGCCCAGGCAGGTCAGTCCCCCGCAGAGCTACCTTGGAGGAAAAGCAAGCTGAACCTTTTCAGCAGAGAAAAAGGCGATTCTTCTGCCTCAGACTGAAGGCGGCACGGCAGGTGTTTGGCGAGGAGGAGGACAAGGGGCAGAGAAAGGGCTGAGCTGTCGGCTGGGAGAGCAAGGAGAGAAGGGCTGGGGGCTGGAGGGATGGACTGGGGCCCCCCTCCGACCCCCTTCCGCTCCCTTGATCCCACAGGAAGATACGGCTGGTGGAAACGTTGAACAGGAGCACGTCTGTCCCCCTGTGTATGGAGAGACAGCGCCGCCAGGTCTTGTCGGAAGAGGTCCCCGTTGGACGTTGGGTCTCCTGCTGGACCTGATGGAACCGTGGGGCTTTCTCCGTGGGGTGCGCGTGTGCTGGAAAGCATGCTTGCTTTCCACCTGACGGCCATCGCGGAGAAGGCAGGAGCGGTCACTCAGACAGGTGTCCAGCGGTCCAGCGGTCCAGGGCTCTGGGGGTCACCTAGTCTTTTGCTTTCCCAGTGGCCCTTCCCTTCTAGAATGGCTCTCATTAGCCCCCCCCCCCGGACATTCCTGCATCCCAGCCCTGGGACGAGGGTTGCAACAGCATCCCAGACCCCCCCTGGCTGGGGGTTTACTTCCACACGTTCGCAGCCCTCCACAGACACCCACCGGGAGCCATTCCTCAGCAGAGCACTTTTACCCAGCAGGGAATGAACCCCATTCAGAGGCTCCCTTGTTGTTAGCAGGGGGTGGGGGGGCAGACGACCCCCCCAATGAGCCCAGGCTCTATTTAGGACAGCAGCAAACACTGTGGGCCCTGGAAGAGGCAGAACACACACACACACTACACAAATACACACTCTGGCAACACAACTGGGCACATGGCCACACACTCTACATGGCAGGCACCCGTGCCCTTCAAATTATGGGAACCCCAGAACTTACCTCTCCTGAGGGTCCTCACGCTCTCTGCTCATGCTGGGAACTGCACAGGAGAGCAGGATGGAGCCCTCTGCCACTCCGGTGGGTGGAACTCCCCCCCCCTCCTTAGTTCCTCAAAATGGAGGGGGAGAGGGGGGGAAAATCAAATTTCACCCACCCTGCCTGCACAGCGCACTGTCGTTAATTCCTGTTTCTTGTTCTTTCGCTCCGAGGAAGGTAATTGCAAAACACTCCTCGAAAGGCGTTATCTTTCCAACTCGGTCTCTCAGAAAGGAAGGAAGGAACTTGGTGGCTGGCAGAGTCTCTCTCACACACACACACACACACACACAGGCCTGGCGGTGTGGCGGGGCTCGGAGAGAGGCAGCCCCTGCCTCAGCTTCCCCAGCGTTGACAAGGGGCCTGCCCTGGGAGCGATCACCATCAACACCTGCGCAGCCCCTTGCTGGGGCTGCTCCGGAGCCGGGAAAGGCGAGACCGCCCCAGGGGTGGCTGTGAGGGGCTTGTCCAGCTCATGACACAGGACCA